TAGGACCTCTTCTCTTGAACATACCTTGAGGTACTGCGTCTGTCAATTTTGTTGTACACTGTAGTCGGCTCCATCGCTCGCCAAAGAGGTTGTAGGAAACCCCCTCACCCTGATGCCTAGCCAGTTTAGAGGCAGTAGGACAACGTTCAGCCTTGCCATTAAAGAAGTTTTCAAACCAAGCGGTGCCGTTGAAAAGCCTAAGTCACACGACTCAAAAAGTAGTCTACCCACAACTCTGGGTGTCTGTAGGTAGGAAACCGGGAAGGGCTTCAGCCATAGCTGAGTCTAAGGGATTAACTATAAAAACAACTCTTCCCCCCATTTGTCCCTCCGCCCTCTCCCGAAGTATTTCACACAGAAAAAACATACTGTATACAAACATCACAAGCAGTACAGTCACTGCTACCACTACAATTACCACCACCAATACCGCCAATCTTCATAGAAACATGGACGAACAAGCACCTAACATATTCAACTTCACCCCCGCGCACTCGATACTGCCATTAGAAACCATCGGCAAGGGATTCTGTGGCTCTGTCTGGTCCGCACCGACTTCAAACCTCGCTATCAAGCGGGAGGATGGCGGCCCTGGTCGGTCCATTGCACACGAACACACGATGCATCGCCACATCATCCAAAGCTTGGATATATATAGCACCAGCAGACTCCGCCTCAATATACCTCACTGCGAAGGCTTCCTCAAGCACGATGCAACTGCCTGGGATCAGATGCTCCCCAGATTCCCTGCCGGATACACGGGCTGCAACGCACTCATCAGCGAGAAGATCCCACCACTATCTCGAGATGTTCGCAAGCTCTTGGCACAAAAGTTTCACCCAGATGTGGATGCGGATGAGATCGCCGATAGCTCGACAAACAGTCATTGCCTTGTCCGACCGTATCTGGGACGCAGGAAGCTTCAAAGTACAGATACGAACCAAGACAGGCCTCGAATGAGATTCTTCAGTTTAAGGAACTTACCGCTTCACGTCGATCAGATGGAGGCTCTCAGAATGAAACTTCACGGATATGCCGTGGCCATGGCAGAGGCTCTAGCATTTTTGCATTGGACCGCAAAAGTCGATGCCAATGATGTTGAATTTGTTCTCGTAGCCCCGAGGACACCAGAAAGTTCCCTCAGCGAAGAGCCGTCCAAGTCAACATTGGGCCCTGCAGGCTTCCATTCAAACGCATTTGGATCACATGCCATGTGGATCTTGGATTTCGACTGCTGCAGAATGATGAGTATGGACACCAACGGGATAAAGCAGGCGTGTAGAAGCTTTTGGCGGAATGATCCTTACTACCCGCGGCCAGGGAGTGACAACATACAAGACAAGGAGCTTTGGGCCATATTCCGGAGTCAGTTTCTCAAGTCTAGCGATGACATCTTGGAGGGTGAAGAGAATAATGTACGACGACTGCCACTACAGTTGATTGAGTCAATCGAGGAGACAAAGGGGAGATTCACCAAGGGAACGGACTTCTGGTAGGATGACCACTGAGACGGCATAATACTGTATTATGTGGTGTGGATAGGATCCTAAGCAAAACAAGAAGCAAAGCGTTTTAATTCTCTGGAAGAGCGTTCTCATATCCCAATCCAAATATATGAGATATATCCTTCTTATTTGCAATTCTCACTAACCACCATACGTGGCAACACATGCAGGATTCCCATACTTGCCTCGACGGATTCTGCTGTGAGTAAGACTTCCCAAATCCGTCTTTCCAACCATAGTCCACAACGCCACAACTGATTTAGAGCTCCTATGGGCCTGCTGATGAAGTGGGAAGATCTTGGCTGGCGGTCTCTCACTGCCAAACCGCATGATCCTGTGCCGCACCCACATTCGCTCCCCATCTCTCATCAAGCATCTGGGATGCTACAGGTTTTCAGCTTTGGCTTAGATCGATTTTTGCTCCTGCGACTGTTCTTGGATAAGAGGCCCAGGAAAGCTAAAGACGTAAGTAAGTCTGACTTGTTTAGACATGAAGGATCTGATGAAGGACAACGAGATGTCACCAGTCGGGACCGGGATGCGTTGGCGGCCGGAAGGTACGGTTTGGACGGCCTCTACGGCCTTTTTTCCCGCCCTGTTGCCACCTCATCTTCGCAGCTGCGCCTGCCTTCATCGGAGAACGGCACGGCTTATCCTTCTGGTCGTTCTTCTTGAGCAGGTCCTTGGATTTCCATCTCTCTCCATTACATCTACTTTATCGGTCACCATCATCTCTCCGAGCTGCAGTGCGAGCGACAATCGCGCCACTGACATCTTGTACACCAGGCAAATCATCATCAGCCGCAAGAACATTAGGTTTCAAAACCAATTTCCCGATCCGATAGTCGCTAGTGCCGCCGGCCCAACGACGACGACCACCCATTCGGAAGTGACGATCCTCCCGACGAACTCTGCCATGATCTTGAGCCCGCTGACCTCTTGGGGGCAAGAAAGCGAGTCATGGGAAAGCTTCTCAAATTATTCCGTTACGAAGTGTCGGGACACACAATCGAGGTTTCGCATGGCGCATCATGGGATTTGAAGTTGTGTCAGGATGTTTGGATTGGATGGGAGGGGGGTGGCGAAACATCATGGAAACATCTTCTTCGACATTCAGCTCAAGTTATTCGACATTCCTGCTAGTGCCAACATCCGTGCCATGCTCCGTGTCAGTTCTTCACAGAGACAGATTGTCAGTTCATTCTTCTGTCAGTCTATCTTCATCTTCAAAGCATAGCCTCATTGCAAAACTACTCTAGATAGTTAATGAATAGCTCAATGGCTTTCAGTCTTTACAAAACCTTGACTGAGCCGCCATTGGCTGCAATGACACTTCCATTAATCCAGCGCGCTGCCTCGCTTATAATCAGACCCACGACTTTGGCAACATCATCTGGAAGTCCGACTCCGTTATGAACTGATTTTCCCTCGCTCAGAACCCTCAATGCGGCTTCGCGCATCTCCGGCGGTGCACTCCCAGTGAGCGCATCCGTCGCCGTACCACCCACTGAGAGGGAGTTCACTGTAGTGCTCAGCGTCTTTGTGTCCTGGCTCAAAATATCTGCCCAAGATCGGGTGAGGGATTCCATTGCTGATTTGGTCGACGCGTACATCATGGCACTTGTAACATTAACATCGACATTAGAATCCGAGATTGCTAAGTTCTTCTTGTTTGACTGTAACTTACTACGGTGCTGCTGCAGTGCGAGCCCAATCGCTTGAAATATTGACAACGCGAGATTCCGGCTGGATGTAGTCTCGTCTGAGAAGCACGTCCATCGTCAGCGCCAGAGACTGCACATTGCCTAGCAAGACCCTCTGGATGAATTCAGCATCAAGCTCACGGACGGGCCGCGCTTCAAAGTGGGTTGCGTTATTGACAATGATGTTGAGTTTGCCGTCGAACTCGTCCTGGACTTCGTTGGCAATCGTCTCAGCCAGGTCTGGCGAAAGAAGATTTGCAACCAATCCCGTGACTTTTGGGGCGTCGAACTGGCTCGAGAGGTAGCCCTGTTGAACCGTCCTTTCGAGAGATTCGATTAGGCCCAGTGATTCAGTTGATGCACAGGTACCAAGAACGTTTGCTCCGCGACTGGCAAGGTGGATAGCTATGGCGCGGCCAATACCGCGGGAAGCACCTCTGTCGCCATTATTAGTAAACTCCTAGGCCGACCTGATGTAAATCCGCAATGACTCATAAACACGAGGTCTAACAGGGCAGTGAAGCTTACGTCACCAGGGCATTCTGGCCTCGAAGGTCCTGGGGGAGAAGGATCATTTCCTTGCTAGTTTGGGCCGTTGTGGTGCTCATCTTCGCAATTCTTACGTTTGGTCGGTTGGAGTTTCGGTGCAGTGATATCTGACGAATACTTTTGGGAAAATAGACATCTCTTGAGGTACCAATAGAAGCTTAATTATAGATTTCTTGGTCTCAGCAGTCAAAGAAAGCTTACAAACAGAGCCGTTGACTATCTGGCACTTACAAATCCGACAAACTCCTTCGCTATTCCAGCGGACAACGAAGTCGCGAGAGAACCACTCAACGGCTCATAATACAAGAGCTCCAAATATCATTTATGGGGCTACGTAGAACCATTGCTGACTATTTTGCAGATTTGTATTTGTACTAAGTATCTACTCGTGGTTCGTCTGATGACGTTCACTCCGCTTAGTAGCCGAATCGGGCCGTCACGGACTTCAGTATACAATTGAGCCGAGTCATCACAAGTTCACCTCTCGACTCAAACCAATGACGGCAAATTCGTTCCATTGGGTCTTAGAGACCAAGTAGGATAAGGTGATGTTTCCACTTTCTCCGTAGCGGTAACCATTGTTCCAAAATCCAAGTCTATCCATTGTAATCCGAGACCCCGTTTGACGCTCTACGGACACCCCCATCGGGTCGTCGTCATCTCAGCGAATGAAGACATCGTCTGAGGTTTACACACCTTGAGGGCCAGAAATATTGGACGCTCAAGCAGACAAGTGTGCAGATGTCATCCCACTAAAGTTCCTCTCTGCCGTGTTCCACTCGGGGCATCTTAAGCTTAAAACCGAGACGCGAGAGGGGAAAGCTTTGGTATTGTCTAGTTGGTGAAAGTTTTTGGATGACATCAGAGTTGTATAAATAAGTTCCCGGTTCATGGTATCAAAAGAGAACGATATCCCCACACTCGACTTGAAGATTATCAAGCATCATCCTTCACTGCCAACATCACTATGTCTCATGAGACTCAACCATCGACGCTCGCTACATTGCAGCCTCTGACCCGGAGGTTGAGCCAGGGGTCAGTCATTACACCGGATGATCCGTCATACAAGCTTCATTCGGAGCCGTTTGCCATTCAGAAGCAGCTTTGCCCGTCAGTGGTTCTCGTTCCAAGCACCATCGAAGAGCTTTCCTCGATTGTGCAATTTTTATATTCCTCCAGCTTGGAGTTTGCTATCCGCGGTCATGGATTCAAATCACCTTCCGCTAAAGACGTAATCGTTAGCATGCTGAGCTTCAAGAGCCTCGAATATGACTCGACCAAAAAGATCGCTACAGTTGGTGCGAGTGCGACTTGGGAAGAAGTAGTAGGATTCATGGAACGAGTTGACCCCGAGTACTCAGGTGATACAGTTGCGTATAACCCACAATACGATCCAAGCTGACTAGACTCAGTTCCTGCAGCCCGTACACCTAGCATCGGAGTCACGGGATCCATTCTGAATGGCGGCCTTTCCTGGATGTCCTCCGAGTACGGCGGCATCAGCGATCCTATAAACTTCCTAGACGCAGAAGTAGTCAAGTACGATGGCACAGTTGTCATGGCATCTCAGGAGCCGGATCTTCTCTGGTCTCTACGCGGCGGTGGTGGCGGCTTTGGTAGTAAGTACACTGCCCTAGCTTGTCTTGAGAATCTTAATCATCTCAGCTAACAGAAGACCAGTCGTTACAAAGGTCCTTCTTCGGGCACATCCGTACCCAACTGATATCTGGTCGGGCATTGTGCTGCTGCCTCGTCAACTCTTAGCGCAGATGATTGACGAGGTGGTCAAGTTCAATCACTCTACGCCCCATCCCAAGGTTAACTACTTCATGTACTTGATGCCACAGCAACTTCTGCATACCGTCCTGGAGAAGCCTGAACCCGATCTAGGCGACACCGTCATCTTCCACGTGTACGATGCCTTAGGTGAAAAGCATGGTCGAGCGACCTTCCGTTGGATTCTTGAAAAGCCCGGGGCAATCGACCGGACAAGGGTGACCAATATGAAAGGCGTTCTCGACATGCAAAGTAAGACGCTCTTCTATGTCCCATAGAGTACCACCTTAACATAATTCTCATACTAGGAAATGCAAATGTCATACGAGGCACAATGAAGACACTTTACGCGCCAATGGCAGTGGCCGACTTGGACCGCGCCACAATCTCGCGAGCGATTGAAGTCTATGACAACATAGAGAAGCTGGACCAGACTATTCACGACATGTCTTCAGTTATCTTCGAGTTCTTATTGCTTGTAGGTTCTCATCCCATCTCGTCAATGTCCTCCTACTGTTGGTATACACGTAAAGCAGGTCAGACCTTTCGGTCGCGACGAGGTCAATAGTAACGAATTGTCTATTGGGCGTATGGAAGGGAGGAAGTTCGTGGGCAGAGCCCGCGATCCCTCTGTGGGTGTAAGTAGGTGGAAGGGTCCGTCGGCACGGGCCCCGACTGCCCACCTACCCACCTACCTACCTACCTACCCAAATCCACCTTTTCTGCCTTCGTAATCCAACACCTACTGATAAGTCGGCTTACAGCGACCCCCGATCGGTGGTACGGCGGAGGTTGCATGGCCTCGATCCAACAACTTGAACCATCTACTGCTTTTTATCATCAGCTGTCCAGGGAATGGTACAGAAGAACAAGAGAGAATCATTCGCCAAATCTCAAACGATGCGCCCGGTCCGGTTTTGGGCCCAGAAACTCGGGCGGAAGTCAATCCTGCTGGTCTCGAGCCATCCTATCACGACGTGAAAGGGGTGAGTAATTAGAGCGAATCGCTGAGCCTCTTCATTCGGGAAAGTTTTCTTGACAATTCCATAGGTATACCGGGAGCATTATGAGAGGTTGGTGGAGTTGCGGCGTCTTTATGATCCCAAAAAGCGCTTTCAATCGTTCTTTTAAGTAGCTTCCTAGGGCAATTTTAAGCAATTAAGTTGTATGTGAAGAGAACTCAAGTCTTTCTCAAGCTCAGTTGATCTCTATCTTCACTTTTGTGACACGTTCACGGGGCAGATCTAGGTACGACTAATACCCTACTTCGTTTAACCCTCATGATCGAAACTTCGTGCACGTCAGTCCACAAATTGAAACTTCTCATATTCTGAGGAAGGAATATGAGGCGCAGAAAATACTACCTGATGAACACATACGGAAGTGAGAGCTCTCCGCTGTGAATCACTGAGTAGTGCTCTGCTGAGTCGCTTTGAGTGTGACATGCAGAGTCGAGTCAGGGGTGGGGACGGGCTTTTGACTCGCACCCTCGGCTCACGACTTTGTAAATGTTAACTCCTCAGTGGCGTCACGAAGCCCGAGGAGCGAAATGTTGGTTTCGTTGCATATATATGACTGACGAGACGCAGAGTTTTGACTTGGAACACTGAGACAAGCATCACTCTCAACGGATTCGACACCGCATCTCCTTTCAAACGACAACCTTTCTAATGACTTCAACGTTCGCGCTTAGACCCCAGCCCCAAGTAAACATTGACAAATTCTCACCAATCATGTAGACCCGAAAAGCAGTTTGCGGAACTCGCCAAGCTCGAGGGCCATGTAGAGGAGGCCACTATCGCAAGCGTATACGATCAGCTGAAGCCTGTCGCTCCAGAGTTACTAGTTGGCCAGTGGGAGGGAGGTAGTTTCGATACGGGACATCCCACCCATTTGCAACTTCGCAACTTCAAATGGGCGGGTAAAGACTTCCGGTCCGTCGATGATGTAGACCCAATCATGCGATACGAAGAAGACGGCAAACGAACGTGGTTTGCTGACTACGGCCATGCGCGGGTGAGTGCATCAATCTTGGGTACATGTCATTGAAGATGTAGCTAAGCGAGATAACAGGTTCGAGAAGTGAAGTTTAGGGGTGTTGTAACTGCAGCAATGGTTTATGACAAGTTTCCCATCATTGACGCATTCCGCTACGTGGACGAAAACACTGTCGTCGGTGCCATGGACAACAAGGAACTTCAGCAGTCTGGGACATACTACTTTTATTTGAGGAGAAGAACCCAGAGTAAGGCCTAGCTAGTCAAACTATAATACCATGCAGATCATCCTCTAGTCCGGGGCCCCAAAGACGATCCCCGAGAGTACAAATATCACCACAGACCTGGTGCGTGAGAAAGTTCGCGACTACTCGATAGTTCTAGTGAAATGAGTGGCTGGTTATTTAATTAGTTTGAAAAAGGAAACCATCTCGTACCGCGTGCTACCGAGGATCCGAGGTCATTTGCCTCTAACATCTTTGTTCCCCCGCATTCTCATCACAACTCGTCGGACAAACCCCACCCACGTCACCCCGAACCCACCGTTTCATGCGACTTCTTCGTCTGCTGAGTAACAGGTGAACTTCAATTTGTCGCATACTCACTGCATGATAATCAGCTTCAATACTCAGAAATAGGTTGAAATGACTAGCACGCCTACGGCTTCTTGCACACAGGATACAGCTGCTCGATCACCCGGGCGGACTTCACAGACTGCTGCAACATCTCAGAGGCTCAAGAAGAGAGAATACGATCGCAAAGCCCAAAGAGTCGCTCGCGAAAAGACGAAGAACCGAATAGCTCAGCTCGAGAGCTTGGTCGAGAAGTTGAGCCAGCAAGATGACACCGCTACTACAGCATCGCTCATGGCGGAGTTGTCAAAGGTGACTGAGCAGCGGAACAAACTCATGAGATGTCTCAAAACGACTTCTTCTTTGTTCAACGATCATGTCAAAGAGGCCGAATCATGGGGCTCAACTGGGATGGTTTGCGACGCGCCGTCTCCGCCAAAACTGGCATCAACCACAGAGGTTTCGCCGAAGCATCCGAGTTCAGGATCCTCAACCTCTCCAGCATATTCATCCGTCCCTGTCTTCGATAGCTCCGCCGATGAGGTTCTTGAGAAGGAAATGGGTGACGATATGGATGGTTTCATTGACGAACCATCTCTTGATATTAGTCAACTTCTGGGCGACTCCATGTTTGAGCCAGAATTCACAACGCCCGCACCATCAAAAAGGATTAGTGAGCCACATATGACAAGCATCACGCACGACGCATCCATACCAAGAAAAAGTCAACAACTCACAACAGAGACACGCCGAATAGCATCTCAATGCCACTGCTCGTCAACCAACAGACTCCGACGACTCTCGGATGGTTCACAAGTCAGTTGCAATAACTGGAAGGCGGGCAACGAAATACTCCAAGAGCCTTTTGTTCTCCCCGACGCTTCAATACGACTGGAAGGAGAGACAGTCGAGGACGTCCCTGTCCACGCTGTGCTCCATGGCTGGGATAGCTTGGCGCACACAGGCAGGATGACGCCTTTGTGGAGAAAGGTTCGCCAACTTGATGAACTATGTTTCTCGGCATGTGGACAGGCAGAGCGTTTGGCCGTTCTGTTCATCATTCATCTCCTCATGAGGGCATATGCCGATCCGACACTTGTGAAGTCTACAGTAGTACCAATGTGGTATCTGAAATCGTAAGTGCAATGCATCTTCGATTCTGAACGTGAGCAAAGGCTGACCCTACAAAGGCCTCTGCAAGAAATTTCTCATGACCCATCAGCTGATTACTTTGCTTGGTGAGTCTGGCTCAATTCTCAGTTGAGGGCAAGATGCTTACATGGAGATACGCATAGGCCAGCCCTGAGGTACCGATTCGCCATTGCGCCACACCGTTATTGTAGCAATTTGTTCTGGCACATGTTCAAAGAACACTTGCGAATAGTGTGGCCGTATGACTTTCGTGACTGCTACATCAGGAATATGCAACTGGGAACATACGGTCTCTCGCCTCTCTTCAAAGAGAAGATCCATGATTTGAGATCTTGGACAATGGCACCAGACTTCTTTGCCCAATTTCCCGAGTTGATGCAGGATATACCAAAGTTTCCGGGCCAACCGTCGCCAGCGGCCGCTCTACCATTCGGGTTGACGCTCTCGCGCGGTGGAGACGGATCAAAGGCGACAAGAGATGATGACGGAGAGAGAAGCAAACCCCCAAGAACCGAAAACAGCACGAAGGACCATATCTTATTCCCCTCATCTTCTCATGTAAGCGGCTTGTTTTTGAGCGAGCTCGGCATCGACGGCGTCACGGACTGCTTTGACTTCTGATGTTCCGGGTATTTGTATACGTCCATATTATCCTCGGGGCTTTTGCGACTGAATCATTACAGTGGCGCAGCAAGGACGCGGCTGTACAGTCTCTATCTTAATAGAGCAAATATTCATGGATATAGACCGCTCAAAGTCTGTACCCAAATGTTCTGATAGTCATTTTCGCTGCCGTACGGATAGACTACAAAGTGATGGTTCACGCTAGCAAGGGTGGCCCTGCAACATCAGCACCTCCGCGGCCCCCCGAGTCTCCACCGGATCCGAGTGTACGATGAGTCCGACTCTGTCGCACAATGAGACGAAACCTTAAATCACTGGTCAAGCCTCACATCGAGGCAAATTTTGCCGTGCAAAGCCCCTGAAATAGAGCCTCACAGTTTTCGTCATTCTGGGAACGACCGGGAAGTCCTCCGCTAAGAAGGACTGCCGACGGCTCCGTGGAGGAGGTTGTCATATCTACTACTACCCCAGAGACTTCATGAAGAACGCCTCGTGTGCTTTTCCTCCGTCGTCGAACCACCGTCAGATCATTTGTTTAGGCAAGATGTTGCTTTGCATGTTTCTCTTTGGCATCGGATTTGCAGATGCTAGGCCATCTTCAGGTGGCATCTCCCGGGATTCGGGTTCGACCCGGAGCGTACAACTACACCATCGGCAAATCAACAACACGATAGTTCCTATACGGCGAGACTGCCCCTTTAGTCCCTGGGATGAGCTTTACATAACCGATTTTCTCCAAGAGCACTTCAACGACTTATCAACAACTGATCACTGCTGGATCATCAAGGGTGTAGCAGGACTACACGAACTACTACAGAGGAACATCTCCGCTAACCCCTTGCTCAACGTCACGATACCAACTTGTATACAACTCAACGTTACGTCGAAAGGAAACGCTTTCTCTATTGACTTCTCAGATGACTCTTACAAGGTTAACGGTGTTGACGAGGATGACTTCGTGTTGTTGACCTATGTGCATCGTGGGTTGCCTTATCCCTCGAAGTCTATCGTACTTTATGTATCTAACAGGCTCTAGTTGTATGCATGACTGCGGCTTTTTTCTTTTGCTATCCCGTCATTCTGGTACTAGCTTCAGCGCCGAACTTATGCATCATGATCGACCGCGCACTCCAGGAGCCCACAAAACGAAAATTGGAACGATGGCAGACAATCTTCACCGTCCTCCTCTTCGCTCCCCTATCCATTGCGGGACTGGTCACCGGGATAGTCGCCATGGGAACCTCGGACCACGCAAGAACAGAGCACGGTGTAAGTCACCCCTCCTCAAACACTTCCAAGTCAGAAGCTAATCCCCATCTCTTTCTAGATCATCGGTTACATAACAATCAGCCTAGCCGCGATTTCAGTCCCACTCTACCTCTACCAAAGGAGACTCAGCTCCCGCCCAGATCTCACCTTCTACATGTACCGTCGCCTCAAATTCTTCAACGCCCTCGATTTTCTCGTCTGTCAAGCCATCCTGCTCATCTCGGGCTTCGCCCTCCCAGATGGCATCGACGACTTTGGCATCATGACGATTTGCGGCACAAACACGCTCTCTTCTTCGCTCCTCTTCTCTCTGGGCATGATTGTTTCGTTTGTATGGAACTGCGCTATGGCAACGATGACGGTGCAGTGGCTTCTCGAGCGGAGGGTTCGGGGCGGGAGTCTCAGGGATAGGGCGCCGCCGTGGATGCTCAAGATTCTGCGGAAACGGTCGAATTCGGATATGACTTTTCAGACGTTTCAAGAATCTCGTTGAGAATGGTGGACCATTGCCCTCTTATGTTTCTGGAAGGGGGCTTGAACAGTGACGATTATGGTACAACAGCGATAGGTCATCTTTACTTGACATTATCTCAGTGAAAGGCTTGTCATTATCCGCCTTGTAGACAGCCACTAGCTCGTCCAGGGCCGACAAACGAAGAAAGCTGCATGTGCAAAAAGACTCTGTTTCATTTCTAGTACGAAGGGATTGGACATTCAGCTCATGTCTAAAGGCTTCTACCAGTTGAAGTACTTGGAACTTGGGACCGGAGCACGATCCAGCTTGAAGTACCCGGGCTGAAGCTTCTGGAAGACCTCCTTGGGATCGTACTTCTTCGCAATACTCTTAAGCTTAGCTTTGTTCTCCGCGCCGTATCCACTGACTACATCTTGGAACTGTGCGGCGTAGTTCATGTAGATGTAGTCGTTCTCCAGCCCCCGCGCCTTGGCTTCATCATTGGTTCTTTCCATGACTGTTGAGGCGAAAGAATAAATCTTGTCGTCGTCCTCTTCGTTGCTCCACATTATGGAGAGCAGAATGATATAGAACGGGCCGTCTTCGACATTGAGACCCAGCGCATTGCCCCCGTTCTGCTGCATGTGCTTCAACATCGGAATGGTGATGCCCTGGAACACCAGAGTAGGAAGAACGCCGGGCAGATCCGTCACGGCAAGAACCTCCTCAAAGTAAATTTCCTGCGCGGCATCAACGAGCCCCTTGTCGGCCTTGCTGCTAATAACGGAATAAATCTCCCGCGGGCCCGGCGGTGAACCCTGGGCTCCTTCTGCGGCCCAGTCAGCAATGATGCGGTTCTGCGTCGTATCAGAGATGGCGGGAATAGCGTTCCATTCGGAAAAGATGTCGGCATCGCCGCCGTCAGGCTCGGCATAATACAGGGTCGGGAGCGAGAGCTTGGTGCCGTTGAAGTAGGCGTATACGTGCCACAGGCCAGCCTTGGGGTCCCTTTCCGCGTTGGCAATAAAGTTGGCGTAAGCCCCAGAGAGCGCAGGGAACGAATCTTCGAGATAGGTTCGGGAACCGCCCCACATCTTACCGCCTGGGAGCGAGATGGTCCGGAGGTTGAAGCTGACTACGAGGCCGAAGTTGTTGCCGCCGCCACGCAGGGCCCAGTACAGGTCCGCGAACTGGGTGACTGATGCTCGGATGATAGCACCGGTAGCGGTGACGACCTGTTGATATCAGCTTTTACTTAGAGTCCTTATCCCGTAAACTTACATCGTAGCTTTCGACATTATCACAAGCCCAGCCGTGGAGGTTAGAGAAGTAGGAGATGCCCCCTGTGATTGCATAAGCTTATGGCGCTCTACGCTCAACGAGTTGTGCCAGGGTTATGCCGTAAGAAAACCGCAAATGTTCTTGTTCAAGTCCCAAAAAAAAAAAAAAAACACAGTATGTCCGGGCTTGGAGTGTCTCGATCACAAACGTACCTCCAGTAGTTAGTCCTCCTACACCGATGTCGTATATTCGACCACCGATGACGTTTAGGTCAGACTTTGTAAGCTCGCGGTATACATCACCCCAAATATTGCCAGGTTGGATTGAAGCAATCTTCTTGTCGGCAGAGAGCGTGATGCTCTTCATGTTCTGGAAGGAGATGGTGATACCGTCCTGAGCGTTGGACGCACCAGCCATTGCGGCGTGGCCACCGCTTTTGGCAGCGAATGGGCACTGCGTGAGACGAGATACCAGAACCACGACAGATACTTGCTCCGGTTTCGACGGTTTAAAGACACAATAAGGGCTGACCTGGGCTTGGTTCCCAGACCAGTATGAGCTGACGAACTCAGTGTACGCAGACTCATTCCTCGTTTCAACAGCATCATCGCCATAGACAAGCTTCAAAGCGCCACACTGCAGTGTAGAATAAAACGTCAGTCACCTTGAAGTGGTGTTGCGAGAGTTGGACAGCTCACCGCAGCAGAGCAGCCTATCTCTGACCTCTTGTTAAAGCCAGTCAGGTTTGGAATCTCAGAAATGACAATGCCTAGCCCCTGAAGCGCATCGACAACATTGAAGTTGGCAGGCTCCGTTGGGCTGATGTCAGCTGCGAGCGCGTGAACAGCGTGGCTAGCTGCGAAGGCAGCCGCCCCAAAAAGCCTAGAACTTAGCATGGTTTCGCTCAAACGTCGTTTCAATGACTGGAAATCAATTCTTTTCAGCGTGGACCGGCGATATCGATGGCAGGAACCAAGGTCATGAGTTTGTTCAACGGGGCAAGCTGCAACTTTATAATCGGTTTGTAGTCAAGCCATGAGCAGCGTGCAGGCAGCTCGCGCTGACTGCAGAATCACAATCTGCAAATCTCACCCGCATGTACAATGCTGGTGAACCCCATTCTTCGTTGCAAGGGACGCCTGCAGAAGTCCCATGGCCCTGTCAAATCCGGCCTCGGCCAAGAGTAAGCAGCCACGGACGATGCTCAACGGCTGGACGCCGATATTGTCTCGCAGTTGATTGAGACTGGCGGAGGATCAGGCTGCGAGCCGTTCTACGTAAGCAGGAACATGAGCCAAGGTTGGTGATATGTTCCTTCGCGTGCTATTGCCTGTCGTTCGCAAGAAATAGTCGCATTCTTGTTGTTGGGTCGTCGAATCTTCGTTGGTGCTTCTGAACAGATGGCAGAGTATTCATACCTCGACTAACACCTGCAGAGCCTACATGGTGCCCTTTTCGCTATTACCCCATGTCGCTACACGCGTGATCGTGAGGAAACATGAGTCCAAAAGCAGCCAGTCGATAAATTAGAGAAAATATAACTGTCATTGTCGCTGACACTAGCCAAAGCTGCGCTTGAAGAATCTCGCTCAGATTTTTCGATTCTTGCCGATGAGATACGACTTGCATCAGAGGCCAGCCATCCGTAGAGGGAATTGGGTCGGGCAAGAAGCAAAAACTACGATCCCATCGATGCGATTGTCTGGCACGGGGCTGACGAGGATGTGCGTGGGAGCCCTCGCCTCACACATTTGCACACAATCGACGGGCTGTCGCAGAGTCTCAGTCACTGAACTAGGCACATTTGAAGAAATTTTGCGAGTAGTGTAGCAGAGCTGGGGCGAAGTTCGATAGCTGATAGATACGACGAAAGCGGCTGGTTCAATCGACTTTGTGAGCATTTAGCATTCAAGCATATGCTTAAGGGTATCTGCTTACGAGGCCGATGGAGCGTGACTATGGGATGCGATACAAGTGCTGAGTTACGACTGGCCATCTGCTATAACTCTGTGCGCGGTACCAGTCAGGAAGCTAACATATTCTGCTCGACACCACTCGAGCACACATGGTATCATCGATGGATGGCCGAAGGCATTAATATCTCCCGTCATTCAGCTGAGGGAGTAGCGTCGCACTGCGATCGCGCTTGAAATAGAATGCAGGTTTCGGGTGGTGAGAAAGAGTGTTCAAAAGAGTGTTCGTTATTTTGCTCGAGTGTGAGCATTTGCGGCATTCACGATCATCATGTGGTTTCTATCAATAATTATTGGGTGGGAAGTATCGTCAGCTCAGTGACGCGATGTCCCTCCATTTGAGGATGCCAAGCCATCTGACATCAGTCGGCGGAGATGTCGAAACGGCCTGCCATCCCTTTGCCGGACCGAACATCGGAGGATCGATTGAACAGACAAATTCCGACCATCACCTCACATGGAACAGAGACGGTGAACGTCTGGAACAAACCAATGGCGGTGCAAGAATCCGGGGGAGGCGTTGAAATTGGGATCACACTAAGGCATTCCAGCCTTCGTGGCGACCATCCGTGGGAAGCCTCAACGTTGAACCGTCCCGACTCATTGGCAGCTGTCAAACGCGTTTCTTTTGACAGGAGGATGCACCATCTGAAAAGCATGGAATGGATCCCGCGTGATGCGCCCTACCCAACCTTCCTGGCTGATTGACCCCCTTCAACTTCGCACAAGGTGACGTTGGCGGTCAACATTGGGCGGGTCATGAGGCCAAGCATTGCTAGACGTGGCGGCGAAGTCGCACGGGACGGGGAGTTGCCTAGATGGTGATTGGCGTGGTGTTGAGGGCGGGATGGCGGAAGTTGTAAACGCGGTTGGGTAGCGTGTCTCGCTTTAGGGAAGAATGTCTCGATGGCGCTTCCAAGCTTATTAGGTTATTAGGATGTCTCTGCCCAAAAACCAAAGTGGTGATCCGGCCAAGTGCCAGGTGACGCCATGCTGGACCCAGATCCAGCCGGGACAGTTCACTATGCATGGAGGCGCAGAAACTATGGAGAGCTTCCCCGCCCTCGGCCGGGGCTAGTTGCTTGAACGGTGAGCTTTTGATCTCGTGAAGGGCTGAAGGTGGTCAGTGAAGATGGTGAGAGTTTGAACATGTCGACGACAATATAAATAGAGGCTTCAATGTTGATGTGTTGGAAGCAGCAAGCAATTTGACTGTGTCTCGGTGTATGCATCGACCAGGAGCCAAGACAGCTTTCCCAGCAGCTTCCCCGGATCATCAGTGACGGCAGCCAGGTTGCAGAGACAGGAACAAGAGAAAAAGGGGGCCGAAAACAGAGGTGATCCCTGTCATCGCATCGCTGATCGTCGGTTTACAGTGCCTCTTGTGGTGCTGGTTTGGGTGCCGTGGACCCATTTGGATTGCGTGCGAGTTGGGCCTCAGCTCAGGTTCCTCCACTGCGAGCGTGGCCGATGCGTCGTTGATCTGCAAGCCGGGCAAAAGACTCCAGCAATCGTCCATCCCGCAGGCTGGGCATCTGGGCATCTAGGCACAAGCGGGAAAGGGCGTCGTGGCAGAGGCTCCGAGAGACAGACGGGCGGGCTTGGACGGCACGGCGGCACGCTCGGGCGGTTGAGCGGATTGGAATCGGACTGAAAACCAAGAGACTCCGAACGACATTGGGCGGCTCTGCATCTCTCGGTGCATCAGAAATCGCAAAAACGAGGATCCGGGCAAACAAACTGGGATAGCAGCAGCGGAAAGACGTGGGAAGCTATGGGTTCTGGTGGTTCGAGTGTTTCCTCTCGCATCGACTTGCCCAGCAGAACAGGGTGGATGCCTTCACGGCGACAAGCTTGAGGTACGTGTTTCTGATTTCTAGGTGTCTCTGAGGTGTATCGCAGCGTATCGCATGGTTGGGGAGGGCGGCATTTGCAGGCAATCCCGCAACTGTCATCGGGGAGAGTTTGAGAGTTGTGAAAGGTGAGGCGAGGCGAGGGACGGTTGACGAATGGGAGGCCATGGAAGCTGAAGCTCTGCCCAAGTTTTTGCTCATGCTAACCGAGGAAGGGGGGGCCGACCAGACATCGAGACGTGGTTTCAAACAAGTCACCAATACTTAGGTTTGGTACTGTCGCGATACGGGGATCCGAGTATTCGTCCCTTGTTCCGGGTTACTTGCTGTTGTGAGGTGAGGTGGTCTCTACTTTCTACCTCACAGATAGTATACTCCGTAAGGTAGACTGACTGTAGAGGTTGCCAGATTCACCCACGGACAGGCTCTGACTGAGCAAGAGCACATGGTTCTGCAGGAGACATCGGACACCGGACTTTTAACAAATCACCAATTGAGAGCGAGTGAGAGAGTGCACTCACCTGGCAAGTCGGCAAACGTGCATTCAGGCCATTTGAGAACAGACTTCATCTCAGGCGCACTTGCATCTCTTCTTTTTTTCCCTTCCTCTTCCGTTTTCCTGCATCTTGCACTTGCCTTGGCAATTGTATTTTGCACCTTCCCTTCCCTTCACACCTGCAGAAATCTGGGAGGAGAGACCAAAAAGATTAGAGACGACCTAAGGTAGAGACGGCAGACGGGAGACCAGACCAAGGGGTACGTACCCTTGTCGTTCTTTCCTTCCCTCTTCCCCCTTCCTCCCCTTCCCGTCCTGCTCCTTCCTGTCCGCTGCCCACTGCCCATTGCCCACTGCCTGCACTAAAGGTAGGTAGTCACCCCAGGTCGGTTGTGACTCCACTGCGGCACCTGCCTGCTCTGCACTTGCACTCGCGACTTCCAGGTTGAGGTACTGGTAAGGTGCTTTTGCGGCTTGCCCTGTTCTCCCAGCTGCTTCGGAAGGAAACCCCCTTGCTCCTGCCTGCCCTTGCTCTTCCCTTACGTCAGGGGCCGCCTCACACCCAGTCAGGGAAGGAAGGGACCTGCGTACCTGCGTCACGGACAGCGCATCCCAAGCAGAGGAAACACACAGTCGCAGTCACGCAGATTTGCACTTGCACTCGCTCTTGCTTGGACGGGGGCTAGAAACGTCCCATCCTGGGGCATTGAGAAACGCGACACACTTTCGAACCCTCTTCCACGGCTTCAATGCAACCCTTCTCTTCTTCTTTTCCAACCTTCCCCTTCTCTTCCTCTCCTGCTACCTATCCGCATCTTTCCACCACCCGGCAGCTTCACATTGCCAATCACCACTACTTGCTGCCACGCGATCCATACAACCCACCGTATTACCTGCCCGCCGCCGCTCTGACATTGTTCCAGACCCCTCCAGATCATCATCTGTACCCCGATTCGCTGTCTTGACGCAACATCCTTCCAAGTACACTACCATCCTACGACGAGACGGGAAGAAAAAAATAGGGTCAAAAAAGGGAGAGCTTCAGCTTAGCTCCCACACCACCCACTTTGTTCCCCCCTTTAAACGCGACGAATTATCGGCGGTTCAAAAATACCCGACGAAACAGGACCCCCAAAACTTCGGGAAGAACAGCACACATCGCACGAATTTAACATCTGTCTACAACGCCAATTGCTATTTCCCACGTTTTGACGACCTCAATCCCTTTTGCATCAGCCACAATGGCTCTCCTCGACGCTGCCGCGCCGCCGGCGGGGGGCCCGACACTTTTCGGCATGTCCATGAAGCAGCTTTCCCTCATCACGGTATGCTCTAAATGACTGTCCGCACCAAGCCTTGCGCAAAGGGTCCCCTCTGTATCGGCGAATACTGACAATGGCCTCGCTCTGTAGCTCACTTTTCAAAATTCGGCATTGATTCTGGTAAGCCTTCTTGTCGTCGCGATCTCTCGAAACTAGCGCTGACTTGGCCGTGGTAGATCATGCACTACTCCCGCATCATGCCTCCCGTGGGTGATCACCGATACTTCACATCCACCGCAGTCTTCCTCAATGAGGTGATCAAGCTGTCCATTTGCTTGACCTGCTCCATTGCAGAGGTTTCGCGCACATTAGCACCGTCCACGCCCGCCACAGTCATCTTCGAGCAGATCTTCAACTCTGTGTTCTCGGGCGATGGATGGAAGCTCGCAATCCCAGCGACACTCTACACGCTGCAAAATACACTGCAATACGTTGCCGTTGGAAATTTGGATGCCGTTCACTTCCAAGTGCTATACCAGCTCAAGGTACGCAGTCACGGACTGATTTCCCCTCTCTCCAAGGGATCTACCGAAATTAACAGTGTCCTCGTCGCAGATTCTCACGACCGCCGTCTTCTCCGTTACGATGCTTCGCCGCGCTCTCGGTATGAAGCGCTGGATCTCTTTGATCATCTTGACCTTGGGTGTATCTATCGTCTCACTTCCCCAACCTTCGTCCGCGAGCCATGCCGAATCGACGTCGGCCAGCATTCTCCTGCACGATACCACAGACCATTTCTTTCCTCGCTCCGTGCACGAGCTTGGTCAAGCTGCTGAGGGTGCAGCGGAAGTGGCCCGTGAGCTCACCAAGCGCGCCGCGGACGGTCTTGCGGGCGTCGGCGGAGAAATCGTGAAGCGGTCGGCCTCGTATCAGGGTATCCAAGAGGACCAAGACCCGTCGCCGCTCATGAACTACTCGATTGGACTGACCGCCGTGCTCGTCGCCGCCGTCGCCTCGGGTCTTGCCGGAGTCTACTTTGAGAAGATGCTCAAGGACTCGGGAACTCATGCCTCCGTGTGGACGCGCAACATCCAGCTGTCATTTTACTCGCTGTTCCCTGCTCTAGCAGGCGTTATCTTGATCGATGCGGAGGACATTGCCAAGCATGGGTTCTTTGATGGCTATAATTGGGTCGTATGGACCGCAATCGTATTCCAGGCTGTCGGCGGCGTGCTTGCGTCGTTGTGCATTAACTACGCCGACAACATTGCAAAGAACTTTGCTGCAAGTATCAGTATCGTTATCAGCTTTCTGTTTAGCGTTTGGTTCTTTAACTTTGAAGTCAACTTCACCGTAAGTAAAGCCCCGCAATCCGCCATGATCCTCAAGCCTGACATTATTAGTTCATTCTCGGCACTGCTCTGGTTCTTGCCGCGACGTACATCTACAGCATTCCCGATCGCAAGGGCCGCCCGCCACCGATCACGATCGCGAGCTACGAGAAGGCAATGGTTGACCCGGCCTACACTCCAGCCGTCACCGACGAAACCAAGCTTAACCTTGACCCGCTCGATGCGGTCCGCAGCATGGGACTTTCGACGTCTAGGCCATCGTCGCCTATGCTGCACCACCACCGAGCGCCATCAGCTAGGGGCAAGAACCGCGACGACTAATTTGCATCACATCGTCGCCTCAATGACGTCATTTTGAAATGTTGTAACGTTTACTCGTTGACCGGAGTCAGTTGGGGGGTCGGATGGGGAGTACCATGACGAGCAACAAAGGGCTGGGTAATAAAAAGGATCGGAGGGGGGGCTCGTTTTTTGTGCACCTTTTTTTTTGTCTTCTTGGGTGGCATGCTCCGGAATATTTGGACATCGAGTCCTGGAATAGAGTCCGGCTTGCTTGTGAGCAAACCACCCACACACCACACAGTATCATCAACAGCGATACCCGGCCAGACCGCAAGGTCTAGGCAACGGTGCATTGTATATCTGAGGCCCCTATTAGGGAGTCGAGAGCGCGAGTGTCCATATTGCAGAGACTAGCAGCTGCATGCTGCGGACAAGCGGTACAGCGCTAGCCGCTCGGAGAATAAGAGATTTGCATCGTTACGACTATGCTTTCCGGCAGTACTTGATGAGGTGACCTGTGAAGTAGATGACGAAAGCGAGATTAATGAGACTAGTTTAATACGTATCAGGTAGGGCTTCTATGACGATGACAGCGAGAAAATACCATCCGCGAGCGAGAAAGCAATGATAGTAATGCGCTATGCCGTCGAGTGTATACCTGGTTTCTAAAGCTCACATGTTCATTGGTACTCTATCATAGCCCTTGAAGCTCTACGACAAATATTAACATGCCATGAAAAGCTCCCTTCCAAAAATTCGCACTCGACCACACACTTCCAACCATATCAGTCTAGACGGTTACCTCCCCTGTCACATAAGTCCCCGCAATTTCTTCGCAACTTGCCCACACGAATACTTTCTCGCCCTTGACTGCTTGAATAGCGAACACGAGGTCTTTGGTCGGCATCAGGCTCTTGACTTTTCCCTTCCAGAAAAATACCAGCCGGCCATCCGAGGTCTCGGCAGCCATTGTGACCCAAGGTGTCGTCTTCTTCCAGACTGGAGCCTCGCGATTCGAACAGCCTAGGATGGCCCGAACGATGATACCACTCTTCGGGCCCTCGTCGCGTTTGGGTATATCTACAGCAAGTACGAGGCGCGGGAAGTGTGCCAAGCTGCGTACAATCTTCTGGCCAAAGGGCGGGTTCCGGGAGAGCACCCTCTCGATGTGAAAGAAATCCATCTCAGCAAGCCGACGTACGGTTTTGACGCCATGCTCGACGAGCGAAGCCATCTTTTTCGGCCCAATATCGGGTACCTGAAGCAGCTCCGTCGTCAGTCCCTCCTAGCTTTTGGACACGACGGCACGCCAGGTCTCGAGGGAACGCCTCAGGCCGATGGCATCTTTGCGACAGCCCATGATGTCGGCGCAGGCGCGCAGTACCTGGCCCAGGATCTTTACGATGCGGGGTTTGTCCGATAAGAGCTTCTGGCGGGCCTGGAGGGAAATTCGGTCGCCGTAGTCGCCGCCCGAGGCCTCGCATTGGGCGACGAGGAAGACCTTGTGCCAGGGCTTGATCAGAGACTCTTTCAGGGGCCAGCGGGTGGAAGGATCATTGTTGATGTGGGAGAAGGCAGCTTTTTCCAAAGGACTGAAGGTGAAAGAGAGGAATTCTGTTGCTGAAGAGGCACACCGGAGGATCTCCTCGGGAGGAGGGCCACGGGGAAGGGAAGCAAGTGCGCGAATTGTCGGAGAGGAGAGGGCGTGACGGAGCATGATTGCATGGTGCTCTGGTGAGAGATCTGCTGTTGATTTGGGATTCTTTGAGGCCGGTGTGCTTTGCGATGGTCGATAAGCTATCTTCGAGGATTGAGATTGAGAAGTAGGGCCCTTGGAGGGTGTTGGATCAGGGGTAAGGGTGGGAGGCATCCTGAACGATTGACCTCTTGCTTTTGTAGCCCAGCACGCTTGAATTTGCTATGGGAGAAGAGTTGGAACCGAGATTGGGAATCGCATCGATGTGAGGAAGATGAACGCAGAGGGAAGAACTGAAGGGCAACCAACACCTTGATACTGAGACAATCTTGGAGGGGCATTCAGCATCCCTCCTTCCTCGAGCATTTGGGGCTCTGCAGCTGCCCAGGCAGGTACCCAAGACCGATGGTGATGAAGCAGGTGTGCTTCTTGCTTGCTCTTGCTTGCTCATTCCCCCTCCAAGCTGCCTTCCTCACATGCTAAGGTACCTTGGATACCTAGTACCTACCTACCTTACCCTGAAGTTTACACTACACACGATGGATGTTACTTCCTTCCACACCGAAGATACCTAAGTCTTGTAATGCACCTCCTTCCAATCAAGAATACAGAAGAAGGAAGTTGTCAGCCTCTCACGGGGTAACATGATGCCCGCTTACACTCTGGCACAGCATAATGGCAGCTTTTGTCCGCCAGAGCCTTGCTTACGTCTTGCCAACCTCCCCCAGCCTATCTTACATCAAAGGCATACTACCGGTACGACGTAAGTAAGCAAGGTAGCACAACAGTTTCCTCCATGCCACTTAATGCTCAGGTACAAAGTAAGGTAGGCGCCAAAGACTCTAGTGGAGAAACGGGACTGGCCGGGGCTCAGCCGGCACTTGCGATCCGCGGCCCGGGTTGACGCCGGCAGTCCCCGCAGGTGGAGTGGGTCCTCATTAAGGTACCAATACCTCTTCCGTGAATCTGCACTAACATGCACCTGAAGTTCTGCACCTTTTTCAGCTCTCCCTTACACAGCTGAACTACGCTCTGACTGGCGTGACGTGACTGGCTCGGTGACTTGTTTCCTAACCGGAAAGAATCGTCAGCTAAACCATTTTGTCTGGCCCCGAGTCTCGCACCCAAACGTCAAGTGACGAAGCTTTACCTTGCACATTCAAGGTTTTGTGAGACGGGGGAATGACGTCGAGTGACACATGCACCAAGATAGTGGACCCGAGTGAGACAGGGCGCATCCAATTCGTGCAACGGCATATACTGTAAGTCAACAAACGCGACGCCACGACAAACGCTCCGGGGCACTTCCAGCCTTCGGGAAAGCTTTTCTTGATCTGCCGTCTCGCCTTCCCATCGACTCTTCTGGCTTGTGCCACATTTCTGCCTCGTTTACCAAGTTACACGTCCCCTGGACATGAACACCTGGTCACGGCATGTGGGTGGCACCCGCTGCGCCCCAGTCCCGCGCCTAGGTATCTGGAGCTCTTATCTTATCGGTACCTAGGTTGGTCGTCATCGAGGTGGTCGCTTTCGCATTGTTTGTAACTGCTTTAACTCTGGCCCTCTCGGCATATCTACCTTGGCTTTCGTACCTCTCAGAACTTGAAGTATGCCATTCAAGCCAGCAGTGACAACCTGAACACACTATTCTTCGGTCTCTCTAGATGAAGACACCTTCTCTACCCCGCGGCTTACGCAGGAAAGCCCATGATGGATTTGTGATGGAGAAGTGGGTTGTCCGATGAGAAGAGGGGTACCAATAAGTACGAATGCCAGCCCAATTGGGACAGCTCTAGACCCCCGTCACGCAATCACATTTGCCTTCGGACGAAAGCTGCATCGCCATGTCTTGGCTTTCTCTGCTCTGATAGGACCAGGCAAAGCTGCCAGCGATAAGACAACAGGTCCCGGGAAGGTTGCATTGCTTGGCTGCCTCTTCAAGGCTGAGCAACAACACCAACTGGCGCATACAGACAGACAACTGGATCCAATCCCCAAACCACCGTTACCTGCACTTGCCTCATTCTCAACCCCCGTTTCCAGCAAGTCTCATTGTGATACACGGCAGGCAACAGAAAGGCAGGCAGACACCGGGCCACCTTTCCTCACCTCCCCCCTTAACTCGTCACCGAGCTGTTGCCCATAAGAAGCTATCCTCCCCGACGCTCATACCATCTGACTCTTCTTCTTCATCTTCTTCTCTCATCCTCTCTCTTAACCTCCAACATCCCACACTTCTCTTGACATTCTCTGAACTCCTACTTCACAGCCTCTACCAAAGTCTTCTCACCAACACATTCACTGAGTATTCCGTCTTCCCACACCAACTTTGATACTACCTAGTCATTCATCATGGCCGATCACGTGTGCTACGTCGTGCCTCCCCACCTGCTCAAGGCCATCGCCGACGCCGAGTGCAATAGCGAGCACACGCGTCATGCCGCAAGACAGGCTTTGAGCCTTCGCGAGCAGTTCACCACCCGCCGTGCCGAGCGCCTCGCCATCCTCGGTGGTCCCCGTGCCCAGCGTCACCAGCTCTCCTCCCGCTCCCGCCCTTCCATCGTCCCCGATATCTTGCTCCAGCACATCGCCGATTCAACGGATGTCGATGATGACACCAGAGCCTGCGCCAAGAGGGATCTTGACCACATAAGAGGTGTTCAGCAAAAGGTCCAGCAGGTTCAGCAGGGCGAAGTTGAGGGTCTACAAGATCAGGTCACCCTCGCCGCCACTACCGGCAAGAAGGACCCCAAGGATGACAAGTTTTATCGGGCCATTTATAACGCCAAGAACACCGAGGACGAGAGCAAATTGCCTGGTGACGTGGTTCGTGTAGAGGGCCAGAAAGCCGTCGACGACAAGGCGGTCAATGATGCGTTTGACAATGTTGGCGAGGTACTGAAGATGTACAAGGAGAAGTTTAACTGGATTTCCATCGACAACAAGAATATGCATGTCATCAGTTCCGTCCACTTCGGTCAGAAGTATGAGAACGCATGTAAGCGCTTTCTTCCTCTACGCTTTGGAGCTTCTAGGATTGCACTAACAGCAAACGATAGTCTGGGACCCGGAGCGTATGCAGATGGTGTTCGGAGACGGTGGAGAGTTCCTGAGTAACTTCACGGGAACCATCGACGTCATCGGCCACGAACTCACCCACGCTGTGACGGAGCACACCAGTCCCCTCGATTACCAGGGGATGAGCGGAGCTCTCAACGAGCATGTTTCTGACGTTTTCGGAATCATCGTGAAGCAGATCGTCGAGAAGGAGGATGCCGGTTAGTTGAAGATGCCCACCACGGCGGTGACATTTCTGACAACCACAATAGAGAGTGCCGACTGGCTCATTGGCGAAGGCTGCATCATGCCAGGTGTCAAGGGCGTTGCTCTCCGGAGCATGAAGGAGCCTGGCACTGCCTACGACGATCCGCGATTCGGAAAGGATCCTCAGCCAGCCCATTTCAAAGACTACGTTCCGACCTTCGAGGACAACGGCGGTGTCCACATCTACTCGGGCATTCCGAACAAGGCTTTCTATCTTGCGGCGAAGGGCTTTGGTGGTTTCTCGTACGAGAAGGCTGGTCCCATCTGGTGGAAGACCATGAACTCGGGCCGTGTTCCTCCCAAGTGCACGTTCATCCAGTTTGCAGATGTGACTACGGAGATTGCGGAGGAACTGTATGGAGATGAGGCAGGCAAGATTGTGAGAGATGCCTGGAACGAGGTCGGTGTGACCAGAAAGGGCAATTAGGAACCGAAGCTGCCGCCTGGCTGCAAGCCCATGTAATGGGGTGTTGGGAACAATTCTTCCTTTCTTTTCACCTAGTAACCCACAAGTATGTCTACGTAGGAACAGAGTTGCCTAGGAACCTATCAGAATCATATTCTTCTCACCCCGCTGCACCAAGGTCTCCGACTCGAATGGTTCTCTTGGATAATTCTATGGCATTACGCCTCAAATTGCCGTCTCGTGTTTGGGGAAGAAACAACATCATGGTAGGTAGATTGATCATCTCGCCCCTTTATCATTGATCGACACTGCGGCAGGGATACATTTCATGGCCGTTACCTTCACATTGCATATGGACTTTAGAGTGTGTTGAAACCGGCAACTTATATCTACAGAACCAGATGGCCAAGGGCCTTGTCTGATGCCTTGAGAGAGAAAAGTATTTACATGAATTCCGTACTTCTTCCTAGTACTTTCCAACCGGGGACACAAATATCCCACGGCCGGCAGCGCTGATTGCAGCAATTCTCACACCACTATTAAGGACAACTAATAACTTAGAAGGAAAGGGTCTGGCCGGCGGAGGCGACGACGGAGGCCTTGACCTTGGCAGAGCCGAGCTTGGAGTAGGAGTAGTCGGGCTTGGTGAAGGTGCCGGCAGGGGCGTCGTTGGTGGAGCCACCGAGGTCGACATCGGAGACGGTAGCGTAACCGGTGGTCTTGGAGTCGAGGAAGGTGATGGCCTTCTTGACGGAGGAGAAGACGGAGGACTCGACGAGGACCTGGGCGCCCATGCGGGTGTTGACACCGGAGGTGTCAATGCTCTCCTCGTAGTTGTTGAAGATGTGGACGTTTCCGAAGCGGACGGAGGGGACACGGGAGCCAATGTTCTTCCAGTAGTTGTTGGCGTAGGTGACGTAGAGCTTGCCAGTGTCCTCGGCCGAGTTGGAGTCGGAGTGGCCGACAAGGGAGCCCTTGTAGTGGTCGTGGAGGTAGGTGTTGGAGACGGTCACAGCCATGGAGGCGTGGGTGATGTCGAGGAGACCGTCGTAGTAGTCCTTGCCGTTGTCACGGTCGGAGGAGAGCTCGCAGTGGTCGACCCAGACCTTGGAGGAGGCCTGGATGCCGATGGCGTCGCCGTTGTCCGCGAGGACCTTGCTGATCTTCATGTTGCGGACGATGACGTTCTCCTGCTTGTTGATGTACAGACCGACACCGGTGAGGGAGGAGCCCTTGGCACCGATGATGGACTTGTTGGAGCCGACCTTGACCTTGGCGGCGCCGGTGATGGCGCCCTTAACGACGATGACGGCCTTGTCAGAGGAGGTGGCGGCGGCAGTGAACTGGGCCAGGGTGGAGACGGTGGTGGTGGTACCGCCGGAGCCACCGGTGGTGCCGGCGCCGTAGCCGACGTCGCAGGCGTCAGTGATGGTGGCGCGCTTCTCGACGGCACGGGGGTCGACGGCGTTACCGCCGACGACGGTGGGAGTCGGGGTGGCGTTGGCCAGAGCAGCCAGGACGGCGATGGAGGAGGCGAGAGAGAACTTCATCTTGACTTCTTTTCGTAAATAAGCTGGGGTTGCTAGTTGTGTGGTAGGTTGATAGTGGTTGGTAATAGAGAATGGGGGGTTGACGGTCTACGTCGAACGAAGGTATTGACAGTGAGGTTACTGAGAGAACGAATGCAAAGAGCGCACAAGAGCTGAAGGACTGAAGAAGTTGGAAGTGAAGCGGGATGAAGATCGAAAGGGTAGGTGAGTATGAGGCCGGAGGAGAATGGTTCTTAAGTATTCAGAGCCAAGACATCTCTTGGCTAAGCTTCTATTGCCAAGGGCCAAGACCCTTTCCTTTGGGCTCTTCTGGAGAAATTCGAGCAGCCCTTGTCCTGCAGACTGCAGTACTGTTCATCTCTTCCCTCTCTGGTTCCGTCTGGGAGACACCCGGAAGGGGGGTGATGGCTTGCGTACGCGTGCGCATCTTGGCATATCCCTGATCTTGGCGAGGATCATGGTGGTATTGGAGGCCACGAGCGGGACCCAGGCCGAAGAGTAAGGTAGGTTGGAGGAGGCTCTCGACGCTTTGGGGCTTGGCACTTGCGTGGGGCCTTGCCTGGGCCTGGACAGGCTGGGCCACATGTTGGGAGGTCCTTGGCGGAGAGAGAGAGAGAGAGTCGTGATGGGTGCACTCATGGGTGGAGAAACATCAAGAGAAGGGGGAGGGGTGTATGTGTGTGTGGGCTTCGGTATACAGAGACCACGGGATAGAGTACATTTATCGACCATGCTGCTCATCGCGTCAGGCGCAGGGATGATGGAGAAGGTTGGCGGTACGAAGTACAATACGGATACATAGGGCGGGAAAGGGACAAAACACGACAGAGCTTGTAGTACTCCGTATATTGGACATCAACCTGAAAAGGAAGCAGTGGGCAGAGTAAAAGACCCAAAAAGGTACATGCCGGTTGCTGGCAGCATGAAGCACGGGCGGCCAATGTCACGGTGGCAGTGAAGCGGTACCCGGGTGCCCGCGATCTCGAACTTGGAAATCGCACGAATAGACGGGACGGAAAGCCTAAAAAGGACGGCCATGTGGTGTCACTGGTGTGCGTGGTGGTGGGCGTGGTACGAGCTGAGAGATGGTGGTTCGTTTGTTTAGGGGAAACGCAGGCCAGGAGGTGTTTGGTCGATATTCCGCCAAGACACGAACTAAGCCAGTAAGAGCGAGTTGACGTTTGGAAACGAGCCAGGGTATATAGAGGGATGTGGGCTTCGAAATGAAGCCAGGGGATGATTGATGGGATGAAAAAAAAAAGAAGAAGGGCGGACGACATGTTGCAGGGGTGGTGTGGAGAGCAAGTGAACATGGAGCCATGATGGAGGGAGTCCGAGAATGTGGGATGGGGTTGTAGGTATCATTGTGAGAATGGTACTCCATAGACTAGAAGGGTTTCGATGGTGATTCCTTTTCTTCTGTATGATCCAGTGAATCCATGGATACCTCTTCGGCTGTTCCTACTCACGGATCAGATTACGGCAAAGGGGGTGAAGAGAAGGGGGACGGCGGGCGACTGGGCATCGGATCAGGCCCAGTACCGTGGGTGGAGTTGTCAACCATCGGAAGAGCCTCACTCAATATTGGTTCCTCGGGACGACGTCAGTTACCTGGGCTTAGGGTATCAAGTCAGTATTTTCGGACAAAAGCAGAAGAAGAAAGCGCACTTGAGGCCTCTGTGAATGGGACCCTTCAATTACGGCAGTCGCTCAGTAGTGTGGGATGAGCAAGTTTGGGTCCGAAAGGGGGGATGGAGGCAGAAAAAAAGGATGCGGACAGAAAAAAACGTGAATATGTGAGCAGAATTTCAGGACTTCCCCCCCATATTCTGCAGGTTTGCGGACGCGTTTCCCATTTTTTTCTCCTAGGTTTTTCCTAGACCTTTTCACCGACGGAGTTGAACAATCAGCAAATCCCACTTACCGCAGGGTCCAGTTGTTTAATCGAGTTGATGGTTCCGGGAATGGACAGAAGAAGACCGTAAGACGGAGGGCGCTAGCTGGAATGAGGAAGTCATGTCGTCTGTTGTCAAGGGCTTGAAGGCGCCAGGGGAGGGGGCGTATGGTCGTTTACGTTGGTTCCCTTTTTCGTCTTGTCGTTCCCACGTTCGGAGGCAGACCCGTCAACCGGAGGCCGGAGGATGGACTCATGGTCTATTCGTAGGTAAAATGGAGACTGGAGAGAGAGAGGAAGTTCTGGGTCGTTGTCGTTGTCGTTGGGTCGGCGGCTCGGGGGTCAACCCACCGGGGTTGAGGGTGTCAGGGATACAGAACGGGAATGGCTCGAGTGGGGTTCACGGTCCCGGCGTATATTAAATTTAAAATCAGGTAGAGTTGTGGGGGCAAGGATCTGTCTCAGATAAGGTATTTCTCCGTCACCTAGCGTCAACTCGTGGCGAGCTTGACTCTTCACTTCAGTATCGACTCCTTGGCTCTTGAGTGTTGTTACGCGGAAGCTCTCACGACAGCTGATAGAGTCATGCTGGTGGCGCTTCACAACTAGCCAACTCCCTGACAGCTTCGAAAGGGCTTTTTACGCCGGTACTATCTGAGCACCAAGAGCACTCCAGCCAACACATGACGGATGGAGTTCGTCCCTGCGCCCTATGCCCGGGCCATCTCAGAGCTTCAGGTTCAGGTTGTCGCACCAGTCAGAACGCCTCTCTCTCTTTCTCTGCATAGTCTGCGGCGAGGATGCGTGGGATATGCAGGTTGTCACTCCCGTCATTCAACTGCCAGATTGTCAGCCAACCCTGCCCGCCGGAGCGTGGCGCTTATTGTCCGCAGCAGCCTGCATATACTCCGTACGCAAGCACTGCAAGCAAGGCCTACGGAACGCCCAGTTGGGATACACTCCCCCGCTTCCTTTTTCTGCCTGCCACGCCGCTTCGCTCAGCAGTGCCAGCAGACAGGCCAGCAGTTTTGTGACTTGTCGTCAGTAGTCATAGCAGGCTACTTCGTACTGAGAGTCGGAGACATGCAGGTTCTTTCTCCCTGAAGTCACCAGATCGTGGAGAACACGGTGGAGCTCTTCACGGGATTACAGGAGATTTTTCTCTGCTCCTCCCCTCCTTTTACCCCCTTCTTGGGTGCTGCCAGGTCAACTGATCTTGCTGGAGAACAAAGCGCGGATACCTGTCAGGTAGTGAACTGCCGGGCCTAACCTCCATAGAAGACATCGGACTGTGGGAAAGCTTGATGTAGTGAAATGTGTGCCGGAGCCGAAGACCAGCAACCCAGACTCGGTTCCCGGATCTCACTATTATTATCTGGGTTTACTATTCCTCTTGGTAGGTGCCTCGAACTGCTTCGATAGCTCACCAAGTATGACACAATAGCAGTTGAGTTCAGCAACGCCAGAGAAACACCAGCACCATGTTTTTCTTGCTCCCTCTTCCCGGGTCTGGGCACTGGCCTTGTCGAACGCGCAGGCTGCAGCTGGGGCCCTCGGTATGCTTGGCGTGTTCCGCACCATTGGGGTGTACGCACCCCTATTTCCTACTGTCTTTCGCCACGATTTTTTAATATGGCCAACCGTCCTGTTTCAACCTCGACTTGACGAACATGGGCGGCCCGGAGATTGGGTAGGAAAGTCGCATATTGCACAATACTTTTATTGAGTACCAAGCCTTTTTTTGATTTCGAGAACGAACCCCAAAGGGAGGGCTAGGGAAGAAGAGTTGCGCGGCCTGGGCTTTCTCGAAGTCTTGGGACTTTGGAACGCGGCAGAGGAATGTCACCTCCTTTTCTTGGCTTTTGCGAGGCTGGATTTCTCATGCTGGAATGGGGTGTAACGACTTCGTACCATCGATCACGGATATCTGGGGGTTTGTCTTGCAGACCTTCATGCGGTCCATCCTATTGCGGCAGTCTAACAGCCTACTGAAAGCCGTTCGTTCCGTTCTCCGATGCTTATTTTGACCATTGCCGTTTGTGATCTGAGTCTCTACGTCTTTGGAAGCCGTCCGTTCCGTTTTCCCGATGCTTATTCTACGGTCTACCGATGTCGTCTTTCTTCCCGGCGCCTACCTTAAATTTCTAGCGTAGCGCCCCAAAACCTTGACCTTTGACGTTTTGGCGCTGGAGCTACCAATTTTGGAACGGAATGGAAGTCGTCGGCGCGTACCCGGATTGTTCCCTGAAATGGATTTTGCTTTCTGCGGGCTCCAGTCCCCAGTATCCCCTGACACCGGACGGGGTCGAGGCGTGCGTCCATCTCGAAGGAAGATGGGACCCCTTACGTCGGGAGGGTCTTCATAGCAGTCCCTCACCCTCGGATGGGCGCGACAGCACACGGACCCAAGTCAAGTTTGAACCCCACCGTCCGATCCTGACCGCTGAACGGCGGCGTACTTCGGACGATGGACAGGCCGATGTTCTTCGGGGAATCGGGGTGAAGTTTTTTTGGTTACACTGAAGAGTAACAGGTGACCTGGAATTGTTGTCTTTGGGTTGTTCACTAACTACCTACGACAAGCCGGTGGGAGGCTTCTCAATTGCATCGTTGATGACCGGACTTTGAGTCCACGAATAAGGGACAAGGTCGCCAGAGTAGTCTAAAGCAGGGCAGATCATGGATGTGCACTACATACTACGGACAAGAAAAGGGCCACCAGTCAGAACATTGTATATTGACGTAGAGTGATAGAGTGGTAGACTTGCCGGTGAAACTTGCGTAGATTGTTGCTTATTGGCGACTCAATGGAAACTCCCCACCCCTCTCTGTGCTCCTTTATTCGCGTCTCCAGCAATCATTTGCGTTTCCATGCGCCGCCCTGGTCTCATGGTCTGAGCCCTGCACAATGTGGCAATATATCTTTAACAGTATCTGTATTCGTACCTTAATCTTTATGTAAAGTGGTAAAGTGACGAGGTAGACATTCAAGATTGCTATGCAGCCTGTGCTACCATTGACGGGAAACCCAAAACGTACCCAATTAACCTCATGCTCCCGTCCCCCCCTCTTTCTTGCAACTTTGCAAGCTAAACCCACATCGATC